AAGGTCCTCCACAAGTCTCCGCATGTCATCCTCACGTCACCACATGTCTTCCACACGTCTCCACGTGTCCTCCACATGTCACCGAATGTCTTCCACACGCCTCCACACGTCTCCACATATCCTCCACGTCTCCGCATGTCCTGGACACGTCCCCATATGACTTCCATTCGTCTCCACACGTGCCCGCACGTCTCCACACGACTCCACTCGCATCCACATGTCCTCCACACATCTCCACATGTCTCAACATGTCTTCCACACGTCTCCACACGTCTCAACGTGTCCTTCACACGTCTCTACATGTCCTCCACACGGCTCCACGTGTGCCCACAAGTCTCCACATGTCCTCCACGTCTCCACATGTCCTCCACACATCTCCACATGTCTCAACATGTCTTCCACACGTCTCAACAGGTCCTCCACACGTCTCCACCTGTCCCCCACTAGTCTCCACATGTCCTCCACATGTCGCCACATATCCTCCTCGTCTCCGCATATCCTCCGAACGTCCCCACATGACTTCCATTCGTCCCATGTGCCCACATGTCTCCACGTGTCTTCCACACGTCTCAACACGTCTCCACATGTCCTCCAAGTCTCCTTATGTTTCCACACGTCTCCATATGTTTTCACATATCTCAACATGTGTCCACGTGTCTCCATATTTCTCCACACGACTCCATATGTCTCCACGCGACTCCATATGTCCTCTACACGTCTCCACACGTCTCGACATGTCTCCACATGTCCTCCACATGTCTCCACGCGTCTACATATGTTTTCACATGTCTCTACATGTGTCCACGCGTCTCCATATGTCCTCCACAAGTCACCACATGTCTCCACACGTCTCCACATGTCCTCCACATGTCTCAATATGTCCTCCAAACGTCTCCACCCGTCTTTACACGTCTCCACATGTCGTCCACATGTCTTCCACACATTTCCACATGTCCTCCTCACGTCACCACATATCCTCCACACGTCTCCACATGACCTCAAGATGTCCTCTACAAGTCTCCACACGTCTCCATATGTCCTCGTCACGTCACCATATGTCCTCCACACTTCATCAGATGTCCTCCACACGTGTCCACATGTCCTCCACAGGTCTCCACATGTCCTCAACCCGTCTCCACATATCCTCCACACGTCTCCACATGACCTCAAGATGTCCTCTACAAGTCTCCACACGTCTCCATATGTCCTCGTCACGTCACCATATGTCCTCCACACTTCACCACATGTCCTCCACACGTGTCCACATGTCCTTCACAGGTCTCCACATGTCCTCAATACGTCTCCTAACGTCTCCACACGTCTCCACACGTCTCAACGTGTCCTTCACACGTCTCTACATGTCCTCCACACGGCTCCACGTGTGCCCACAAGTCTCCACATGTCCTCCACGTCTCTACATGTCCTCCACACATCTTCACATGTCTCAACATGTCTTCCACACGTCTCCACACGTCTCTTCACACGTCTCAACAGGTCCTCCACACGTCTCCACCTGTCCCCCACTAGTCTCCACATGTCGTCCACATGTCTTCACATATCCTCCTCGTCTCCGCATATCCTCCGAACGTCCCCACATGACTTCCATTCGTCCCATGTGCCCACATGTCTCCACGTGTCTTCCACACGTCTCAACACGTCTCCACATGTCCTCCAAGTCTCCATATGTTTCCACACGTCTCCATATGTTTTCACATATCTCAACATGTGTCCACACGTCTCCATATGTCTCCACGCGTCTCCATATGTCTCCACACGACTCCATATGTCTCCACACGACTCCATATGTCCTCCACACGTCTCCACACGTCTCCACATGTCTCCACATGTCCTCCACATGTGTCCACGCGTCTCCATATGTCCTCCACAAGTCACCACACGTCTCCACACGTCTCCACATGTCCTCCAGATGTCTCCACGCGTCTCCACATGTCTGAATATGTCCTCCAAACGTCTCCACGCGTCTTTACACGTCTTCACATGTCGTCCACATGTCTTCCACACATATCCACAAGTTCCCTCACGTCACCACATATCCTCCACACGTCTCCACATGACCTCAAGATGTCATCTACAAGTCTCCACACGTCTCCATATGTCCTCGTCACGTCACCATATGTCCTCCACACTTCACCACATGTCCTCCACACGTGTCCACATGTCCTTCACAGGTCTTCACATGTCCTCAACACGTCTCCACATATCCTCCACACGTCTCCACATGACCTCAAGATGTCCTCTACAAGTCTCCACACGTCTCCATATGTCCTCGTCACGTCACCATTTGTCCTCCACACTTCACCACATGTCCTCCACACGTGTCCACATGTCCTTCACAGGTCTCCACATGTCCTCAACACGTCTCCACATATCATCCACACGTCTCCACACGTCTCCAATGTCCTCCACAAGTCTCCGCATGTCCTCAACACGTCTCCACATATACTCCACACGTCTCCACAGATCATCCACACGTCTCCACGTGTCCTCCACACGTCTCCACATGTCATCCGCATGTCCTCCACACTTTTCCTCATATACTCCACACGTCTCCACAGATCATCCACACATATCCTCACGTCTCCACATATCTTCCACACGTCTCCACGTGTCCCAACAGGTCCTCCACGTGTCTCCGCATGACCTCCTCACGTCACTACATGTCCTCCAAACGTCTCCACGTGTCCTCCACATCTCCTCCACATGTCTCAACAGGTCCTCCACATGTCTCCACGTGTCTTCCCCACGTCACCACATGTCTTCCACACGTCTCCACCTGTCCTCCACACGTCTCCACATGTCCTCCACATGTCTCCACACGCCTCAACATGTCCTTCACACGTATCCACATGTGCCTACAAGTCTCCACATGTCCTCCACAGATCATCCACACATCTCCACACGTCTCAACGTGTCTTCCACATGTCTCAACATGTCCTCCACATGTCTCCGCATGTCATCCTCACGTCACCACATGTCTTCCACACGTCTCCACACGTCTCCACATGTCACCGAATGTCTTCCACACGTCTCCACACGTCTCCATATGTCATCCACCCGTCTCCATATGTTTTCACATATCTCAACATGTGTCCACGCGTCTCCACATGTCTTCCACACATTTCCACATGTCCTCCTCACGTCACCACATATCCTCCACACGTCTCCACATGACCTCAAGATGTTATCTACAAGTCTCCACATGTCTCCATATGTCCTCGTCACGTCACCATATGTCCTCCACACTTCACCACATGTCCTCCACACGTGTCCACATGTCCTTCACAGGTCTCCACATGTCCTCAACACGTCTCCACATATCCTCCACACGTCTCCACATGACCTGAAGATGTCCTGTACAAGTCTCCATACGTCTCCATATGTCCTCCAAACGTCACCATATGTCCTCCAAACTTCACCACATATCCTCCACACGTGTCCACATGTCCTCAACACGTCTCCACATATCATCCATACGTCTCCACACGTCTCCAATGTCCTCCACAGGTCTCCGCATGTCCTCAACACGTCTCCACATATACTCCACACGTCTCCACAGATCATCCACACGTCTCCACGTATCCTCCACACGTCTCCACATGTCATCCGCATGTCCTCCACACGTTTCCTCATATACTCCACACGTCTCCACAGATCATCCACACATATCCTCACGTCTCCACGTGTCCTCCACATGTCTCCACGCGTCTCCATATGTCCTCCACAAGTCACCACACGTCTCCACACGTCTCCACGTGTCCTCCACATGTCTCCACGCGTCTCCACATGTCTCAATATGTCCTCCAAACGTCTCCACGCGTCTTTACACGTCTCCACATGTCGTCCACATGTCTTCAACACATTTCCACATGTCCTCCTCACGTCACCACATATTCTCCACACGGCTCCACATGACCTCAAGATGTCCTCTACATTTCTTAACATGTCCTCCACATCTCCACACGTCTCCAATGTCCTCCACAGGTCTCCGCATGTCCTCAACACGTCTCCACATATACTCCACACGTCTCCACATATCCTCCTCACGTCACCACATGTCATCCACACGTCTCCACGTGTCCTCCACACGTCTCCACATGTCATCCGGATGTCCTCCACACGTTTCCTTATATACTCTACACGTCTCCACATGTCATCCGCATGTCCTCCACACGTTTCCTCATATACTCCACACGTCTCCACAGATCATCCACATATATCCTCACGTCTCCACGTGTCTCCCACACGTCTCCACGCGTCCCAACAGGTCCTCCACGTGTCTCCGCATGACATCCTCACGTCACCACATATCGTCCACACGTCTCCACATGACCTCAAGATGTCCTCTACAAGTCTCCACACGGCTCCATATGTCCTCGTCACGTCACCATATGTCCTCCACACTTCACCACATGTCCTCCACACGTGTCCACATGTCCTTCACATGTCTCCACATGTCCTCAACGCGTCTCCACATATCATCCACACGTCTCCACACGTCTCCAATGTCCTCTACAGGTCTCCGCATGTCCTCAACACGTCTCCACATATACTCCACGTCTCCACAGATCATCCGAACGTCTCCGCATGTCCTCCTCACGTCACCACATGTCATCCACACGTCTCCACGTGTCCTCCACGCGTCTCCACATGTCATCCGCGTGTCCTCCACATGTTTCCTCATATACTACACACGTCTCCACATGTCATCCGCATGTCCTCCACGCGTTTCCTGATATACTCCACACGTCTCCACAGATCATCCACACATATCCTCACGTCTCCACGTGTCTTCCACACGTCTCCACGCGTCCCAATAGGTCCTCCACGTGTCTCCAAATGGCCTCCTCACGTCACCACATGTCCTCCAAACGTCTCCACGTGTCCTCCACATGTCCTCCACATGTCTCAACATGTCCTCCACGTCTTCACATGTCCTCCCCACGTCTCCACATGACTTTCATTCGTCTCAACATGTCCTCCACAGATCATCCACACATTTTCACACGTCTGCACATGTCCTCCACATGTCACCGAATATCTTCCACACGCCTCCACACGTCTCCACATGTCCTCCACATTTCTTCACATATCCTCCACGTCTCCGAATGTCCTCCAAACATCGCCACACGACTCCACGTGTCTTCCACAAGTATCAACACGTCTCCACATGTCCTCCACAGGTCTCAACATGTCATCACCACGTCTCAATATATCATCCACACGTCTCCACACGTCTCCAAATTTCCTCCACACGTCTCCGCATGTCCTGAACGCGTCTCCGCATGTCCTCCTCACGTCACCACATGTTTTCAACACGCCTCCACACGTCTCCACATGTCCTTCACGTCTCCATATGTCCTCCACACTTCACCAAATGTCCTCAACACGTCTCCACATGTCCTTCACAGGTCTCCACGTGTCCTCCACATGTCCTCCACATGTCTCCACATATCCTCCCCGTCTCCACATGTGCCCACACGTCCCAACACGACTCCATTCGCCTCAACATGTCCTCCACATGTCCTCCACACATCTCCACATGTCTCCACGTGTCTTCCACACGTCTCAACACGTCTCCAAATGTCCTCCACAGGTCTCCACATGTCCTCACCACGTCTCCACATATCACCCACACGTCTCCACACGTCTCCACACGTCTCCACACGTCTCCACATGTCCTGAACGCATCTCCACATTTCCTCCACACGTCTGCACATATACTCCACACGTCTCCACAGATCATCCACACGTATCCACATGTCTCCACATGTCCTCCACGCGTCTGCACATGTCCTCCACATGTCACCGAATGTCTTCCACACGCCTCCACAAGTCTCCACGTGTCCTCCACATGTCTCCACATATCCTCCACGTCTCCGTATGTCCTCCCCACGTCCCCACATGACTTCTATTCGTCTCCACATGTGCCTGCACGTCTCCACACGACTCCACTCGCCTCAACATGTCCTTCACACGTATCCACATGTGCCCACAAGTCTCCACATGTCCTCCACAGATCATCCACACATCTCCACACGTCCCAACGTGTCTTCCACATGTCTCAAAAGGTCCTCCACAAGTCTCCGCATGTCATCCTCACGTCACCACATGTCTTCCACACGTCTCCACCAGTCCTCCACACGTCTCCACGTGTCCTCCACATGTCACCGAATGTCTTCCACACGCCTCCACACGTCTCCACCTGTCCTCAACACGTCTCCACATGTCCTCCACATGTCACCGAATGACTTCCACACGCCTCCACACGTCTCCACATATCCTCCACGTCTCCGCATGTCCTCGACACGTCCCCATATGACTTCCATTCGTCTCCACACGTGCCCGCACGTCTCCACACGACTCCACTCGCATCCACATGTCCTCCACACATCTCCACATGTCTCCACATGTCTTCCACACGTCTCCACACGTCTCAACGTGTCCTTCACACGTCTCTACATGTCCTCCACACGGCTCCACGTGTGCCCACAAGTCTCCACATGTAATCATTGAAAGTGATCTGAATATATACTCATTTGAATCTGCAGTTATATCAGCTAATTCAAGATACGACTTCATGTGTTGAACAGGACACATGTCAGACAATGTAGCAGCTGTGACAACCCATGCACCATCTCGGTAAACATCGGTTTGGGATTTATCAATAAAAATAGACATATACTGGTCATACAAATATATATCAGATCTGGAGAAATGCGGCAACTCGCAGGAACGCAAAAATCCCGAATAAGCCACAAGAATCATGGTTACCAATCTACTGTCTTTTAAATTTGATTTTCACTTAGAAGTGATAACTATATATGAGATACCTTATATGAGATACAGTGATTGGCTCTTTTTTGCACACAGACTTAGCAAGTCTCCTTTGGCCAGCTTCCAATACATTTTGTACCAGAGTATTCTCAGTTGGGCTAGTGAGTCCAACAATAACATGGGCATATCTTACGCTGTAAAATGCATTCATAACTGGGGATATACTATCACAGCTTTGTATCAATGATAATAGATAAAGAGCACAATGCAAAGGTATTAATGGAATAGAACCTGATAAACCGTGAGATTCAGCCCAAAGCTTGAATCGCCTGAAACCATAATCATAAGATTTATATGATGAAGCAGATCTCGCTTCATTCAAGAGTTCATTCAGTGGATTTATCTCATTTCTCACCATACACACATTGTTATATACATGAACCTGAAACAAAAACAACATGCTATGAATCACATCATCCAGAATAATCTATATTCAATGCTAACATCGGAAACTTCAAATCTGGAAACTTGGAATCAGTGTCGTATAATCTGCTCAGATAATCTGCCCTATCATTGAGGCAGCGAGGAATCCATTCAATGTCCAGCTGAATACTATACTGTAAGCTCATCTGGAAACTTTCCAGAGCTATTCACTTAAGATGAACTTTCATACTTCCTTTCTGCACAACTGAAACAACGTTTTGGTTGTCTGTGAACCATTTCACTGTGTGGAATCCTAAAAAACTGAGAAAGCTACTAAGTACCATGGTAACTGCTATGAGTTCCCTCCACGTGGAGCTCCTCTATATTTCACTAACTGACCATTGTCCATGAGAAAAAATAAACTATCCTAGTAGGGGAACTTTCAGCACGCAAGGACCTCGAGTTATACACTGAAATGTTGGACAACCAAAACCTAAGTTGTTCATAACTAGAAGGAGATAAATAGATCCTGTCATTCCAAGACCTTGCCTGTAACACATCAATAGATAATGCCCTCGTCATGAGCTGACTGACAGAACCAATTACTGGCTTCATTGCTATTACCTGACCTACAACTGACGAAATACTCCGGACCGGTATCTTGCATTTCATTTCCACAATGTTATCAATACAACCCTTGAGTTTACTAATTTTCCTATCGGGTACGGTTAGCGTGAACTGTGAAGTATCTACGCAAAAGCCAAGCCATTCTAAGCACTGTGATGGTGACCACAACGACTTCTCAACTCTAGGAACGAAACCAGATTGAACCAAATCACCTTTGACCTTCACTGCCGAGTCCCTGCAACCATTTTCTGAAAATTCAACCATAATTCCATCATCAAGAAATGTAACAATACAAAGACCATCATAGCGCCATCTTTTTTACTAACTGTCTGGTAACTTTTGTAAAGATATAAGGAGCTGATGTCCAACCAAATGGCAATACTAGAAACTTATAGTATTTCTTCCCCAGTGGTAAGGTCCATGAAAAGCCAAGATGAGCCGTATGCTGTGGAAACATTTCGATGTGATGGTAAGCCGAATGTATATCAAATTCAATAAGCCAGTCATTGGCATTAATATACATGTACATTAAAGCCGTTCTCCAGTCTTCATATTTGACTGAAAGCTTGTAAACTAGTGTGTTAACAAGAGAGAGATCTAATATGAGTCTTTTCTTTCCCGATGAGAGACAGAAAGGGGATTCACAACATGTGGTCTATCGGTACATTCAACAAAAAGGTCTTTTTTGGGCAAATCTCGTATTGCTTCACATACAAATTCGTGGTGATTAAGCGCTGATTTGTTATTTTTCAGTTCCATTGACAAAGGCGTGAAATAAAAGGGTATCTTATAACCATGCTTAATAGTATCTAGCACAAAGTCAGTACATTCTATTTCCTCCCAAAAGTTGCTACAAAGTCTCAAACGTCCTCCAACTCTGATTTCAGCATCACCCTGCTCGTATTCATAGAAATCATCAATGAGTTCAATATCTGATTTACCTTGCTAATTCTGTTTTGTTGGTCTTGTTGACAGCACGACTGGGTGGCTGTGATGGGACTGTGACGAGCGGGCAGTCTCTCCTCCAGTGTGACGGATCTCCGCACGCGAAGCACGTGCCTGTTCTGTAGTTTGTACGAAAGGGCCGCTGGGATATGGCGGGCTGAGTTGTAAGGTTAGCCACAGGAAAAGTAGACTGGGTAACAGTCGCTGTAGGTTTCCTATACGGAGAAAACCTTTCAAACTTGGACCGCTTCTTCTCAAGTTTTTTAACAGCTCTGGCTTCAGCTCGGAACATCCTTCTTTCATCGTCGGAATTATCAGCCAGCTCATTGTTCTCATACTGACGCACTGTTTCCCACCCAGCTTCTGATGTATCTGCTAATTTGATATGCTTATTTCTTCGTTCTATGCGTGAAATCTCAGTGGCGATCAGCTCGTGAAGATGCTCCCCTTTTCCATAATCAAAAGCAAACTTAATTTGCTTCAAATTGTCTATAATGTCCACATTAAAGTTATACTGTATTTTATGGCCGTCACGTTTCCACGCGAATTCTTTCTCAGATTTAATTTTCTGCAATTCCAAAGAAGTTCTCTTCAAACTAGCATGCAAACCTGCAAGTTTAGCATCCACTGCTTTGTCAATGTCTGCTGTGGATACCTACTGTGATAACATGCTATCCAGTTTTTCGTTGATCTCGGGCGGAATGGCCATAGTCCAATTAAAAGATGCACGTGGACTATACTTTTGCGGGAATAAAGCTGCTTGTTTTATGGCTAGACCGCAGGCGAGAATGAACTCCCCGACCTATGACGTCACTCATATACTCCATATAAGCGCCAAGTTACTCCCCCTTTGTATCTGGTTTGTGCATGAAGAGAAATCAATTTCATTCTAATTCATTCTATTCAAACTAAAGAAATTTCATTATTCCTTGGCATATCAGTACGTCGTCCAATTTCGATTAAAAGCTCAAGCGAGGAACATCTAAATTTGTAACATTAATATAAAAAGATACTTGTCTGCATGAATGAATGTTTAACATTTTATAATACAGAAATCGAAATACAGAAGATAAAGATTGACTCCTGGTTTGAACATACATATCCTTTTACATGCGTGAAAGAGTTAATGAAATGGTTATTAGAATTTAAAGTTTGTTAATTCTATACATAGCCATAACGATTTGGTATAAGTTCATTATTGAAGAACGATGTAGAGACGTCGAGGACATTTCCAATTTGACGCATCAGTGACAAAAATTATGTCCGATGCAATTCCCTATTTTGACTTGTATAGAAGAATCTTATAAAGTGTGCAAGGAAAAGATACTAGACATTTTTAATGGAGCCAGAAATAAGAATCCTACATGTGAGGAACTTGCTGATAGAGACATAGAACGTGCACACAGGATATTCAGCAAAACAACAAATAAACCCCGCCCTCTTATAGTGAAAATGGCACACTGGGATGATAAAATCCAAATACTTGGATTTAGGGATACCCTGAGAGAAGTGGTATATGGTGTCGCTAATGACCTAACATATTTCCAGCAACAAGAGCTAGGCAGGTCGTGAAAGTCCAGATAAGGGTTGTTTTTTTACAAAGGAGGGAAACTTGTGGAGGATGTGAAGAAGGGTAGTGAGATGAGAGATAGCCAAGAGACACCAGAGAGAACTACAGCATACATACGGGAAAGAAGGGATAGCCAGAACATCAGAACATCACCCTCATAAGGACATAGACGGGGAGGTTCACACACAGGACCACGACTTCTGAGTTCTCGCTCTAAGGCCTGGGACAGGACAGCAACCCGCTGCGGTTGCGACGATACCGAGCGTGATTGTAGGACGTCTCATGTAGATGACTGTAAATTTGAAAATAGAACATTTGTTTTCTGGAATGTATCAGGACTTAATTCTAAATTAACTGATCAGGACTTTACCGATTATTTAAACTCATTTGACTTACTCGGCAGAAAAGAAACATGGATGAAAGATATAGACATAAATTTGATATTTCTAGGATTCAAGATATGGATCAAAGAAGCTGAAAAGATTTCCAACTGGTGGTATTGCCATATTCAGTTAGACAACAACTTGTTAAATATGGAAAATGGTCTCAAGTTTACGACAGTGGCATTTTCGTGCTGTTAGATAAAACCGTATTTGGATTTTAAAAAGATTTGCTATATTCATGTGATTATGTTCATCCTGAATGTTCGACGTTACACAAACCTTTGGAGGCAATGCAAAAATGGCATACAAATATTACAAAATGAATTACTTGATATACTAGCACATTGTGATGATGTTTTTTTGATTATTGGGGGAGACTTGAATGCTAGAACTAGCACTGAATCTGATTTTGTAGAAGATGATATCCTTGAATATCTCGAGGGACATGATAACAGTGTATGGGGATATCTGTTAGAAAATTTCAGCTTAAAAAGATTTTCTTTGGATTTATCTTTGAATAATTTTGGTAAGAGCTTACTAGGTTTATGCAGTATACTAAATATACATGTTATGAATGGAAGGTGTGGGTCAGGCGCCGGGGTGGGAGATTTTACTTTTATAGGAAACCAGGGTGCGAGTGTGGTGGATTATGTTATTGCCTCGTCCGAGTTGTTTGATATTAGCCATGGCTTTGACATACCGTCTCGAGCCGAGTCATCACACCTTCTTGTCACGACTAGTTTACGTGCGCTTGTAGTAAGTGACCCTACGCCACGCAATACACGTAACAATGCTTCCTTCAAATTTGTGTGGGCTGAAGAGAAGGCTGAACAGTTAAGAATAAACCTTATTGCTGGGACTGCGCATAATTTACTGGAGAAGGCTGTAGATGTAGCATTTGTTAACGTTGAAGAAGGTAATGGGTATATTACTGAAGCTGTTATTATTGCTGCATCTGATATGAAGAAAATGAATATGGGCTGTAAATATGATCAACAATGGTTTGATAGCGAATGCCAGCTACTTAAAAAGGAACGATGTAGACGTTTAAATAACTTTAGAAAGAATAAGGACAGAGGATTGCTAACAGACTATAATAGAGTAAGAAATCAGTGCAACGATGTTTGTAAGAGAGAAAAAGACAGAATATTTCGAACAAAACCGAAACTGTTGGAATCAAGCATAGATAATTCTAAAACATTTTGGTGATCGCTAAAAGCCATTAAACCTAATAGATATTACAAAAATGACATTGATATTCAAGCCTGGTTTGAGCATTTCCAGGAATTGTTTTCAGTTCCATTTAGCCATTACGATAACAATTTATTTGACATGGAATTCAACGAAGATAAAATTGACAGTGTAACAGCTGATATTCTTGAATGTCAAATATCTAAAGAGGAAATTATTGACAGCATATCCAACCTTAAAGATAACAAGGCATCTGGAAATGATAATGTGATAGCAGAGTTCTTTAAACATTCCTGAGATATTTTAATACCATATTTGGAACTTATTTTTAATATCCTTTTAAAGAGATCATATTTTCCAGAGAATTGGACAGTTGGCATTATTGTTCCTCTTCACAAGCAGGGCGCAACCAGCGATGTTAATAATTATAGAGGCATAACTCTCCTTAGTACATTTAGTAAAATATTTACTTCAATTATTAATAAGAGACTTGTTTTCTGGGCGGATTCTTATGATAAAATGTGTGAGTCACAAGCACTGACGATGCTTATATCCTCTATTCTATAATACAGAGATATCTATCAGTGGAACGAGGGAAGCTTTATGCTGTATTCGTAGATTTTGCAAAAGCTTTTGACTCTGTGAAAAGGGTTAACTTGTGATCACTCTTTCAAAGACATGGGCTAAGTAGCAAAATTGGAAAGTTATTGTGCTCTGTATAAAGATGTGAAGGCGTGTGTCCGGAACACTGGCGCTATATCGGATAATTTTGTAAGTAGCATTGATGTCCGACAAGGGTGTATATTAAGTCCCTTCTTATTTTCCTTTTTCATAAATGAATTAGCATATCAAATCCAAAATAATTGCACTGATGGAATACAACTACACCCCGAAACTATTAAATCATTTCTGCTTCTTTTCGCTGAAGACATAGTCATGTTCTCGAGCACAATATACCTGGCTTGCAAAAGCAAATACATGTATTAGAGAGTTATCGTGACGTGTCAAAACTTACTGTAAATGTGGATAAAACCAAAGTTGTAGTTTTTAAAAATGGTGGAAGATATCCAGAAAAGAAAAATGGCTTTACAGAGGGAAGCCGGTAGGAGTTGTTCCATTTTATAAATACTTAGGCGTGCGTTTTACAAATAGATTAACTTGGTTAAGAAATGCACATAACATTTCATTGCAAGCCACTCATTTTTTGTAGGCATATTAAAACAGCTTAGAGTTCTGGATAATATTACATATGATGTTTACTTTAAAATATTTGATACAAAAATAAGCCCGATTCTACTGTATGGATCAGACATTTGGGGCCTAGAACATGTGGATGTTATTGAGAAAATACATTTATATGCATTTAAAAAGTTCTTGGGTGTACAATCTAGCACACAAAACGCAAGGGTATATGGTGAATGCGGAAGGTTTCCCATGCATATCAATAGTTATTTAAAGGTTATTAAATATTTGGTCAAGCTATTAAATATGCCATCTTCAAGATACCCTAGAAAATGTGACAATATGATGCTTCTCTACAACAGGCATGGGAAACAAAATTGGGCATCAAAATTTAAAACACATGTTATACGAATGTGGATATGGTTATATTCGGTTACAGCAACATGTTGATATGCCACAACATTTCTTCTCCCGTTTGACACAGACCTTAAAAGATATGTACATCCAAAAATGGCATGGTTCTTTGTTCAGTTCTAGAACAGCAAATTACTACGCTACATTTAAGACTACTATTATACTAGAACCTTATCTATTAAGTGTAAATTTACATCAGTTTAGAACAGCTCTTTCTCGATTTCGTTGTGGCTCACATGATCTATACATTGAAAAAGGCAGATATGAAGGTATTGCAAGAGAACATAGACTTTGTAGGGTTTGTAAAACTGATTGTATTGAAGATGAATATCACTTTTTATGTGTATGTTCAGTGTATAAAGATTTAAGAGCAAAATATCTAAATAACTATTTCTACCGCAACCCAAACGGTAACAAATTTTGTAAATTAATGACTTGTTATTTGTACAGAAACTATTAGAAATTTATCAATGTTCATTTATCATGCTATGAAACTAAGAAAATTTATGAATTTGTAACACGCCCCAGACAATGTACTATAGGCCATTGTTCTCATGAATAAGTGCCATGAATAAAGATTGATTGATTGACTTGTACCATGTGTTCCCGAGTTTGTTTTAGGTGGACAAATTGACTTGCTTTTGCTTGTGTTTGTGCATCTTCCCGAAGCAAGAGTTCAACTGACTTTACAAGTCCAGTTTCCACGTGCACCCTTGCCGAACTAGGCTGGAATTCCCTGGCTCGATCCTAGCGCCACCAGTGGCTATTACGAGTTATGTCCATTCTATGCCTCTCCCATATTGACCAATCAAATTCCACCTCTCGTATCACATGCAGTTTCTTCAAACAAAATGGTGGCGCCCAGTCAAGACGATCTGATCGACCATCAAGATCTATTTTGTGATCAAACGGTTCTTATTTCGTGAAGTTCATCAAATCACATGAGCATCTTGATTAAAAACATGAAAAGATTTGGAAAATATCTGTTGACAACGAGTTGGCGATGCACATGCTTTGCAAATACTGCAATCGACCGACCTCTGCATGACAGTTTACGAACAGGATTTCGATTTCGGTGCGCGATTTTGACTGGACTATGCATAGACTCGTTAGCCCAGCCAAAATGTAACTCCATAATCCCAGCCTAGTTCGGCAAGGGTGGAAACTGGACTTTTAGAGTCAGTTCACTCTCTTGCCTTGGGAAGATGGCGTTTGTGACGGATACCACCGGTTTGGCAGGATACGCTTACTTTTACGCGAACACCTTGTATCATCACTATTTGGTAGGGATTCATAAACATAGTCATGATCATGATGTACAGTCGAAATTGTACAATGGATTTCTTATGAATATGGAAAGGGTTTTGTCGCTTTCACCTAATATATAACTTTCTGTAACACCGAGGTCAATGTTAAATGTTTTAGATAATTCACCCTAGTTTCGAACAAAAGCCATTATATTTGCATATCTGTGAATCAGATGCTTAATCATTTTACAAATAACAACTTTTCGAATTAATGATTCCATATCGTATTTTATCTGGACAGCATCAAATATTTGTTTTTGCAAAATCGACAAACAAGCGTCACATATCCCACATGTGGTACCTAAATATAGTTGAATGAGATATTGCAGTATGAAGATATTATCGACCGTTGTGTATCCTTCCATAACACCTGTATTCAACTCACTTATGTTATCTGCATTCTGCCTGACCATAACAGTTGTCCTTTGTTGATGATAAACATGAATAATTTGCAAATATACTTGATAATGTAGTGCCCCTGTTATTGTCAGTGTTATCTAATGCGCCTTGTTTGTGTATCAGAAACCATGATTGCATGTAGTATGGTACCAACTGACCAAGGCCAACTGTGGGGACCGCCTCCGTGGTCTAATGGTAGTGCATCCGCCCCGGAGAGCGGAAAGTCCGGGGGTCGATTCCCGGCCGCGTCATACCAAAAGACGTTAATAGTCCGGCAGAGAAATGAATATTTTCCCCCAACCCAGAATTAGGGGATTAAGTATTTTTTATTGCTGGATTTGTTTAATGATGTACTCTAGATTATGAAACTGACTGATGACACTCTGTCATCTTTAGGCATTTTGAAATATTCAAGATGGTCGATAAGATGGCCGCCAAAACATGAAAATATCGCTTCCTTGCTAACAGTATGGAATATGATACCACTTTTGGAGCAAATCACTAATATTTTGATTTCAACTAATTAGCATATGGTATTCTAAATGAACTGGTATCATTTAAAACATAATTTGATTCTTAAATAAGCAAGATAACTGGCAAAATGCCTGTCGAAACATTATAAAAGTCAACAAGCACGGGATTCTTTTAAGCATAATTGATTATTCTGAACTTTCAAAAATGAATATTGGCGCAAGGTTTTCTTCACATACATACAATCAGTTTAGGTTTCTTCCTCATCATCAATAACACGGTTAGTGAGTGGGTTGAAGCAGACACTGGAGCTACAGGAGCA